CCAGCAGAGGTAGGGCAGCTCAGAACATTCTGGCTTACAACCAGCAGAAAGAATCCCAGCATTCTCATCTTGGCCATTGGGTATTGTTGACACAGCTGCAGTGAGACATATCAGTGCAGCTGGAGGCTGTATTTCCACAAAAACCTGTCATTTGGAATTCCTTCATCAAACCCCATACTTAGAGCTCATATTTCTCCATATTATATGCATTCAATGGTCTAACCTCAAGACAAATTCCCCTCTCAACAAAACCATTTTCCAGTTCAGTCTGAAGCCTCCAACAAAACAGTCTTTGWTTTTGTGCTCTTATGGTTTTTGATCTTCCTTCCATTTATAACAAGTTAGAAATTTCTCTTCCTAAATTATGGATAAATCCTACTTTTACAAAAATGGGTGCAAGACTTGTTTAGCCAGATGACTGACTTCATGAGGCAGAAAAGAGGAGAGCCACCAGAAAAGAGTAGGAYAGTTGTGGCAAAGCCATGGTGTGCAGACCACAAGTGCTATGCAGTGTTTCATCAGGAGTGCACAAACAGGGCTGCAGTCACATCCCTGGTTTCAGATAGCTCCTCCTCCTGCTCTATTAGCAACTAGAGGAGAAAATAAGGAACAAAGAAATTGCCCTGGTGTTTAAAAAGCAGTTGAAGAAAGATGCTTGACATCAAAGGGAGAGCTCTTCAAGAGAAATTCACATCCCCACTCACCTTCCCCWCCTTCATCAGTGGCCAGATTACATATGGCTGTCAGAATTCTGACAGGATCATGTCCTGGTCTCCTTTATAGATACATACCAGTTGGTAGGTACAGCTCTGACTGTAGGGAAAGGCTAGTGAGGACAGATGATCAGAAAACATTCATTTTCAACTCCTAGGTCTGTGTCAGGATCTTGTGGTGCCTTCTCTGCTGAGGCATCAGCCAGTGACACAGACTCCTGAGACTCACTCATTTTGAACATTTCTTCATTCTGGTCTGCCATGAAACAGATTCAGTTTGTCAATGCAAGCCCAGCAGTGATGTGACTCCCTGGATGTGACAGATTGGCCATTCCTCTTACTGAAGCTCCTCTTCAACACCCTGTGGATGTACTCCTTCTGCATCCCTGCTTCCTGCCCAGAACTCCCTGTGAACTTTATGCATGTGGTGCTGGCCCCAGTGTGGGGATGGGCTCACTCTGGGGCTTGACAGTGATGGACAAAGCTTTCCTCAAGTTCTTCAGGCAATGTGTAGAGAACTCACTTTCTCCCACATTAGGTTCTTGTTCCCTCACAAGCTGCCTTTCTCCCCTTTCTCAATTTCTCAGCCCACTAGGCAAAGCAATTTTTTTATCTTCATCCCATTTCCCCACAAACATGCAAGCCAAACCCATACCAGATGCTCCTACCTCTCTTGAACTGACTCACAATTCCCTAGGCAGAGGGGCTGACTTTCTGATCAGACTGGGAATGCTTTGCAGTATACTGCAAAAAATATATACATCTATTTTCCTATACAGAAGAAGCATTTGAATGCTAGTGTATATTGGGATTGAGTGTAAGCAGACTCAGTGGAAGTGATACAGCTTCTCTTACCCACAATTCATATAATTTATTTTATAGTTATAGAGAAAGAGAATTTGGAAAATTCACTTTTAAGGGGACTAGATACATTTAAAAAATGAAGTGTTGTTTTGCCAAAATAATTTCTGGCTAATAGCATAATACATTTTTGTTTGTACTCTGAATCTTGCTTTTGCCTGATTTTAGTGCCTTCTTCCCTTACTCTCTATTTCCCTTTAGAGCTGTAGGCTATTAATCTGTAATTTTGTACCCTTCCTGAGTGTCACCTAGCATTGATGTGTGATGTGGAGCAGTTTTGCTGTTCATTTAGATCTGTGAGGGAGAAAGATTGACCAGCTGGCATCCACATCACCACATCTCAAGCAGCCCTGTGGCTGTATCACCTTTATTAAGACCCTTTCCTTCCGCCAGATTTTATTTGCCAAATGATGGGTTCACTTGCATTACTCTAGTGCGAGAAAAACAAAAGGAAGGGTAAAAATAGGTCTAAATCCCATGTAAAGAACTCATGAGACAAGTCATGTGCCCAGTACATTAGTCAGTCCCACAGTGTGTGGATTGAGCTTTCTGAAGTAGATTCAGAAGTGATTCCTGCACTTCATAAATTGCATAATGTGCTATTTAAATATAGAAAAACAAGCTCAGAGGAGTTGTCCCACRTATGTCCATGCCTTACAGTAATTCCATTATTTAACAAATAATTGCATATATAATAACAAGGAAAATAAGAAATTACCTTGTAATGACTAAGTGACAGGCCAAAGGAGGTTTAGAACTTTGAGAGAAAGTTAGGAAGTCAGGCCAAAGAGCTGCGAGCAGCCCTGGCACCTGACTCTGCTGGGTGCAAGCACAGCCTGACAGCAGCAGGTTCAGAAAACCCTGCTGCCCCYGTGCCCTGCCTATCCTTCTGGCAATGAAGAGCTCAAACAGGATCTGGTCTCAAAAGATGCTGAGCTCTGGCATCTCTTATGGGCCTTAGGGCCAGCTGAGTGGAGTGTCCTGGAAGCTGGTACTGGCAAGTCTTCTAATGATTCATTTTGTTTTTTTCCCAGCTGCTCCCAGATGGCAGCTCCCATCTCTGGCCACTGGTACCCTGGACYCCTGTTTGCCACCCTTGTCCTCATAGCTGCCTGGCCTAGGGAGAGAAGCCTTTCCAACTGCTGATCAGCCTGTTGCAACCACAGTACCTTTTGGCTGCTGCTGGTTTTTCTTTGGTCATTTCTGACAATATCTGGAGTGAGTTTGCTGGTAGGTAAACTCTGCACCTGCATCCTTTTCAGACTCATTCTGTTTGTCACCACCAGGGAGTTGCAGGTTCATTTGCTTTTTCTCTTCTGTAAATGAAAAGTTCACAAGCATCTCCTAGATCCTGTGAGTTTCTCACACCTACACACTAAAAGTGCAGCTGCTTGGTGTCAATTGAAATATTTCCAGGAGGAATGATGTCACATGTAAGACCTGGGTTCTTGATTTATAGTGCTTGTAAACAGAAGAATCCTATTTCTTGCTTGCARGGGCTGTCCCAGTGCCATGGGAAAGCCCTGCAGAGCCTGTGGTTGCCCTGTGCTGCCATCATCACCCTTATGTGACCTCACCTGCACCTTGTAATTCCTAAGGTGACACTCGATGCTGGAAACCCCATTGCTCTGAGATTCAGTCAGCTCACAATAACTTGAGASAACAGCTGTGGTTTTGGCTGTGGAAACCTGTCCTCCCCCAGATGTATCAAAGAGTCATGSCAGGCTGCTGCTAAGAGTTGTCTCTTTTAAGTTCATATTCCAGTTTGTACAATTTCATTATAAAGTCAGACTATGGCAGTTACAGTCTTAAATGAGATGAGGATAGGAATGTATTCACCTTTTTAGTCTGGAATAGATTCAGACTTCTCTAATGCCAAATTCCCAGTATATTGAGTAATAAAATGTGGCTTGTAAACATGTCAGTACTYAATGGGGCCTTGAATTAAGTATTCACTTACCCCACCAATTACTACTGGTGCCAAAAGTGGTTTAGTTCTTATTATTTTACACATTTTTTTTTTACCGAGGACTTTGTGACTTTTCCTAAGGTGCTAAAACCAAAACTGTAACAGGAGAGGCTTTCTGATAAAAGTTAAGCAGAACTAATTCATGCACTTAGAAATATTTCCATTTCCCCATGAATAGGATAATTTTAGTGGCTTTATTCCCTTAGGTTCTCCATAGACCTCTCCTGTCATTAGAGACTGTGGAAGGGCTATATGTGGCTAAAGAATAAAATGCCACAAAACCCAGTGGAAGGCTTGACCCTGAAGCAGATGACTATTGTCATTGCCAAAATTTGTAGATATTTTTTCTAGTGTAGCCCAGACAACTGTGGCTATTTGGCCACGGTTGCTTGCTTGTTTGTAGCACCAGCTATTCTTCTCTGATTTCAGTCTAGTTATTCTGATGRGGGTTGGGTCTGCAGATCTTTTCTTAGATCTTACCCTTTAAGCAACAGGATGGTTTTAAATGACCTGGACATGAGCCCTTAGTATTGCAGATCCTTCCCCTGGAGAACACCCTCCATTCTCTGACTAGAAACCAATGATGGACTGGTTACTGCAACAGGAGATGGGAAGCCACAGTCCAGTGCTTTGCCAGAGACATTTGTGGGAATTGAAACAAGTCCCACAGACTGCTTCTACGGTCTGTGGTGTTTTATAACCAGGAATTTGAAAAAGAGACTGGTAGGATTATTATTTATGTAAGTTATAACATCATCTCAGATCCTAGCTGTGGACACTTCATCTGATAGGAGAAGTGGGTYTTAATGTCTTCTCAAATGACTCAATCTGAAAGAACCTGTCAGGTTCTGGAAGAATGTCTGTGGGAATTTTAGGAGAAATGAGTGTCAGTGTCTTAGAAATGGGTCTTAATGTCTTCAGGAACATCAACCTTCCTTCATTTCAGAAACCAGACAATTTGAACTTATAAATTTGAGGACAAATGTAGTAGGCAGTTCGGGAAGTATGTACCTCCTTAGTGCCTCAGCTAATGAGGAAAGGAAGAGGGCAACATAGGGCCAGGAGTTTAGAATAAAAGGAGAGAGAGAAAAAAATTGAGAGAGACCCCATGGGGGTATTGCCYAGTGGACTCTCTCCCTTTACTTGAATAAAGTTGCAGGGCTTCTCTATCTTTTTTGTGAACTCTGGCTTTTCACAGCATGATTTTMCACACATCACCACATGTTTCATTTAATTATAACCCTGAGACAGCAGCTGGTCACCATCAAGGGGACAGTTTGGCAGCACTCATCAGTGCAAAAGGCAGGAATAACATGAATTTTGACTTCAGTGCAGGTATCCATCTTAGAGTTTGGAAGAAGACTACTGAGATTACACATTAGAAATGTGTATTTGGTGTAAAAAGCTGTAGTGTGCTGAGCTCAATCTGTTTGCCTTTAGTCGTTGAAAACATTTGACTGTGGAATGAAGAAAACACTGAAATCCTGGACTTCAACCATGACTTTGCTTTTCATATGCAACAGTCTAGTTTCCACATGTGATGAATCTCAACTTGCAGACACCAGAGTATTCACAGCCRCCTGAGAAGTGATTTTGCAGACCTCTGACGACCTTTCAGTGGTACCAAAGGCACCCTCCTGYTCTTCTGTCTCCCACACCCCATCGGCACTGCCGCATAGACGTTGTGTTTTGCAAAACTTTGSCTATCTCCAACGGTGTTTGAAAAGCCTGTGTAACTATTAACTCATCTGGAACAAATGGTGGCTTCTCAGGGGAAAAAAAAATCATGGAAATAGTCCTGTTTGTATTTCTGGAGAACAGGAGGTGAAAATTTTTGTTTGAAACCACAAACTTAAGGGTGGCGAGGCCAGAAAGCAGCCGACACTCAGCTCAGGGTCAGAGCTTCCCACCCCGTGGGGCACAGCAGGACTGCCTGTCYTCCGCAGGCCCCGGCCGCGCTCCTGCCCCACAGCGCGGCAGGTGGGGCCCCACCCCGCCCGGGGCCGTCCTGCCGAGGGCCGCGGCCTCCCGGGAGCGGGCGGCCCTGGAGCGGCGCTCGGGCAGGGCCAGGCCCTAGCCGGCTGCCAGCGTCCGGAGCCCAACGCGGTGAGTGCCTGGGAACGCCAGGCTCCGCAGAGCCCGCGCCGTGAGGCCGTGGCTGAGGCGGGGCCGGGGCGGCGGCGGGGCCGGGCCGGGGGCGGTGGAGGCCGGGCCGGGCCGGGCGGGCATGATCGGCACCGTGCTCTGCTATGTGCTGCTGCCGGCGGCACGGCTCTTCCAGGCCCTCCGAGGTAACCCGGCCCCGGGCGGGCGGTGGTGGGGGCGGGGGCAGGGGGAGCTGGCGGGGGTGGCCCAGAGGGGCGGGGATGTCCCTGGCTGCCCCCCGCCCCGGTCTGGGGGGGTGCGGAACGGCGGCCGGAGTCGTCCGGGCTGCCCCGGAGCTCCCCGAGGCGCTGGGCCCAGGCAGGTGGGGTCTGGGGCTGCTGTGCCGGGCCGGGGCTGCTGGCCCCGGGTAGAGCGGGGCGCTGCGTGTTTGGAGGGACCAGCTGCCGGCTGTTGTGCTGCAGAGGCAGACTGCGCTCTGCTCTGGGTTCCGGCTCCTACCCCGAACCTGCTCTCCAGGCTTCGGGACATCTTTGGAGATGGGCTGCTCAGAGATCTGTGATCCCCCAACGACCACCCGGTGACTTCGTGGATGGACTTTTGCTTTGCGCGCATCACTGTTTCACTTAGTTTCCTAAATCCTGCTGCTTCACAGTCTGCTCAGTGTGCCGATGTAAAGCCAYCCTCCAGCCTGAACCTGTCCCCAGGCCTATGGCACCAACTGAACTGGTACACTGTGGTCATAGGTGAACAGTCAGCTAGCTGACTCCTCTCAAATTCAGCTCCTACTATATAATAACAAYAATGGTGCCTGGCTAGTGGTGTGTGGAAATATTACCGTGATGCACTGGTGTTTCTGACATTCRTAAAGTTAATTACAAACAGACAGAGAGGAGTAGGGTTCTTAAAGCTCTGTTTCTGACACATATAGAAAACTTTAACGCAAAATATATAGGAAAAGTATACATGGATGTTGCTGACTCCCATGTGTTACTGCTCTGGCTGACTGACAGGGATGCATAGAGAAAAAGTGATCTGTAATCAGCAGAAATTGCTAGTCAGCAGTGGGGACTAGTATCTGTGCGGAATTCATAGTGAAATGTAAATACCATCTCTTGTATAGATGCAAATAAAAGGAGTTTCTGTCTTTTTCTACTTTGTTGCACAAATACTAGTATATTCAAGTGTTACATTAAAAGCAGTATAAAGTGGTTTTATTTTTTGGCCACATGTCTGTCATCGGGTGATCTGTAATTCTTGCCAGGACTAYTTCTGTGCATATATTCTCTCTAATCAGGCATGTATTGGTCCCTCTGTGTCTTCATTTTTCATCTTTTGATAACAGAATGGTTTTTCTTCTACCACACATTCTTGTGATATATTTTATTCTCATAGCTGATTGCTATTTTGTATTCAGTCCCTGGAAAGAAGCTTACTCCAAGTGATGATATACAAGACCTTGGCTTCTTAGCCCAGCTTGATCTGCTAACTTTTCCAGACTGTGCCTTTACATATATTGCTGAGAGMTGATAGTTTCCACAAGGCATTTCAGCTTGGCTGACTGTCTGTAGTGCTGTTTGAGTTTGAATTTTATTCCCTAGATTTGATAAAGCCATTGSTATTGTGTGCAATTTCAGTGTCTTTGACTAATGTGACTGGACTTGGTCTGTAGCTTAGCATTCTGGAGAAAGCAAGGGACATTATTCAGATTGTAACTGTTTTTCCTCAGAGAAGTAATTTGTTTGAGTTGCTATACTCAACAGTTGTATTGCACAGTTTCAGAAAATGCATTGGAATAAGAAAAGAATGRGTGAGAAARCATTTCCAGCTGTCTTATTTTGATTTTGTTTTTAAATAACAGATGCTTTCTTTACCTGTCGAAAGAATGTGCTTCTGGCGAAGAGCCCGCCCACCCAGATAGAAGGTGTCTTTGCTGCAACCAGAGGAAGATTGGTCCCAGAAGAGCAAGAAGGCCTTCTCCAGAAGTGGCTGGACGAAGGAACAGAGAATTTGCCAACCAGTGAGAGTGTTCCAGCAGTGAGGAAACTATCAGTTACWCTCACTAGTGACTGGTTAGAAGGTTCAGAGCTATTGATGACTAGCCTCAGTGACCTGAATACATCTCCGGAAGTCACCCGGTGTGCTGATCAGCAGCTCTCAGAGCTAAATGCCTTGACTTCTTCAGAACTGCAAGAACATGCAGTAGCTGAACTGGCAAGATTACCAGGAGAGGAAACAGTGACTTCAGCAGGCAGTGTCCCTGGGGCAGCTGAGGTGCCACAGACAGATCACCAGACAGCTGACAGTGCTGGTATTAATGTGGAAGTGCTGAATGATGACCCAGCTGTGCTGGCGTGGAGTTTAGCGTGTGATGCAGAGACCGTGCCACCAGTGTTCCCAGCCCAGCCCATTCAGGATGCGGTGCCATTTTATCCTGTCCCAACAGAGGTGCCCTACCATGGTCAGTAATGGCTYCAAATCTAATGTTTTGTTTGAGATTGGCATTTGTAGTGAACGTGTCTGGGCTTGCTGTCAGTTAAGACATTGATTGTCCCTGCAGAATTGACGTTATCTGCCAGTGCAAACTGTAAAGTGAGTTGTTTTTGTTCACAGCTAGTGTTTCTGTGCTATTAGAYTGTCTGGTCTGAATATATGTTCCTCAGTGTTCTCAAATGCTGGCTTTATAATCTAAAAAGCACTGAAAAGTGCATCTGGTGTTTCAGTGTGCTTGACTCTCATGTGTGCTTGACTCTCAGTGTGCTTGACATGTATTATGCCATCCCCGTAGACAGCTAATCAAAGGTACCCGGAAAGTGCATCTGAAAACCAGGTGGGTGAGGGTTTGCTCAGAGGCTAGAATGCCCTAGTTTAGGGAATGAGAATGGCTATTTTCTGGGTCCCAGGGGAGCTAAAGTACTGGCAAGGTGCCCAGTGTGGCTGTAATTTTGCTTTTTGTCTCTTGCATATAGAAATTTTATGGAGAGACTGGGAGGATCTTTCTGTGCAGCCCTGTGTCCTGGAGCAGATCTCAAAAAACACTTCTCTCTTTGAATTTCGAGTCATGTCTTACAACATCCTTGCCCAGGACCTGGTGGAGCAGGGCCTTGATCTCTATGTACACTGTCATCCAGACATCCTGAACTGGAACTACCGCCTTCCAAACCTTTTGCAGGAGATCCAGCACTGGGATCCTGATGTGAGTATGACTGAGCCCTCCCTACCTCAGTGTCATCAGAATTTGAATTCCTTGTTTCATCTGACAGTATAAAGAAAAGAAAAAGTTGGGGGGACATCATAGGAAGGTACTACCTGACTGGTAATTGAACACTGATTGCTCTGAGAGTGTTTGAGGACTTTTACAGACTGTTTTTTTGGTGTCTGTCTTGCTTTGATTGTAGAAACTAGTCATGCTTTGATAGTAGAGCTTCTATAAACAGCAGAAGTAGGGRAAGAAAGACCCGTTTTCTAAGGCAGCACAGGAGGGGAAGCCTGCCTAGACAAGGACTCCATGAATTTCTCTATTATTTGAGTCCTCTTTGTGGGATGAAGGATCTTTTTCTTCATCATTGGAAAACTGAATGATAAGCTAATGTGACTCAGAAAGTTATTGCTCTTCATCTGGAAAATACAGGACAGTTGCGGTGATGACATTTCTGGTTGGAGGGTTGGTATCTGAGTGCACTTTTCCGCTTTCTTCCTCCCCCAAACAAGGTAACTAGCAAATACTTGTGGAGCGAGTGAGGTCTCTGCCTTCCTTCCAGGTTCTGTGTCTCCAGGAGGTGCAAGAGAACCATTACTGGGAGCAACTGGAACCAACGTTCAAGGAGATGGGTATGAACTGCTTTTGTGGGTCTGTACATCTAGCTCATGGGACTGGCCAAGCAGTACTTAATGTCTTCAGAGCACTCAGTTTCAAGAGACCTCTTCCTGTTTGCCAGGTGGCTGCTGGCCCTACTTCTGAACTGTCTGCCTAGATCTTTAGCCTTTCTTTTGCAATTGATGTCTCTGAGTTGAAAGATCACAATAACAAAATAGAGGGCCCTAGAAGGACAAGGAGAGAGAAATACCCCCAATGATTTATGGATAAGGGTGATTATTGGAACAGAATTGGGTATATTGCTGTACCCAAAATGTAGTAGAACCCTTTTGTACACTGGCTGAACTCCCAGCTGATGGGAGGAGCCTGAGGTAGTGACTGGATAAACCTTTTTAATAGTTGATGGTTTCTTTTCAGGCTTTGCATGCTTCTATAAACGGAGAACTGGGACGAAGACAGATGGATGTGCAGTGTGCTATAAGCACAGCAGGTTCCAGCTGATCAGCCTCAGCCCTATAGAATACTTCCGGCCTGGCCTGGACATCCTMAATCGGGATAATGTGGGCTTGGTACTGCTGCTACAGCCTGTGCTCCCAGAGGGCCTAGGTCTGAAGGCAGTCAGTCCTTTGTGTGTGGCCAACACTCACGTGTTGTTTAATCCCCGTCGAGGAGATATCAAACTGGCACAGGTGGCCTTGCTTCTAGCAGAGATTGACAAAATTGCAAGAACTGCTGAAGGCAGCTACTATCCTGTCATCTTGTGTGGAGACCTGAACTCTGTACCTGATTCTCCACTCTACAAATTCATCCGGAATGGTGAACTTTCCTACCACGGGATGCCAGCCTGGAAGGTAGTTGCCAGCCAGAACTGGGATTGGATAGCTCATTATTGCATGCTGCTAGAGAAATCTGGCTGCATTGTTTCTCTTGTGAAGAAGTAGTCTTAATACTGAATTTAGTTTTTCAGCAGTCTTCCTCAATGTCTTCAGCATTGCAGGGAGAAGAAGCAGACAAGTGTGTGCCTGTTGTTTCCATTGCTGCTCTTTTAGTTTTGAGGCAGACTTGTGATAAWAGAGCACTTAATTTCAATTTTTTCCTTTCCTGTGGAGTTTTCACTGGAGTTTCCAGCCTGGATGACTGGAAGCATAGGGGAGTGCAACTCCACCAAGATTTACTGAAATTTTATGTGGATGTTTGTTCTGAAAATAATTTGAAATGGGCATCTATGCTAGAGTCTCTTGTGATTACCTCTTACCTATGTCTGTGATCAAATACATTTTTGGCTTTCAAGTTAAATCATCWGTTCAATAAGATACCTGCAAAGTTATCTTGTCAGGTGACTTTTAGCTAGTTGTATCCATCCCCTGCAGCTGAAGGTTTATTACACCACCACCATMTTCTGAATAGCTGAATTCATGCCCTATGAAGGCATTCTCATGTCTTGCTCTTGGCAAGTGTATTTGTGTATGTTGTGTACAGCTGCAAAAGTTCTCTGTGTCACTGATGTTGCTCACCTTTTCTGCGCTTCTTGCAGGTGTCTGGTCAGGAAGACTTTTCCCAACAGCTGTATTCACGGAAACTGTTGGCCCCACTGTGGCCAACTTCACTGGGTGTAACAGACAAATGCCAGTATGTCACCTTGTGCCAGCCAAAGAAACTAGGTGAGCTCCAGTATGCACTGACAACATGAGTTTGCTGAGGATGGGCAGTTTGTGGGCCTTGCTGTCTTCTGAATAGCTTGCRTGTGTGTTGAATGAGGCACTCAACAAAGATTGTCTCCTTCTACTTGGCATATGAATTAAATATATTTTTTCCAGAATCTATTGCTGTAGCCTCATTTCTGTCATTTTCTTTCTCTTGTAAGGAGATGGATGTTCCTCTACCAGTAACAATTGCTCTATGTATCTCTTTCATATTTCTAGACTTACGCTTTTTCTTAGACTTTATGCAGCTGTAAACTATGTTCAGCAGGCACAGCTTTCATCTGCAGAYGTTTGGGGTGTGGATTTGGATTTGCAAACCACTGTTAGGAAATCATACCCAAGACCTAGTTACTATCACATCCATTCTCTGCATCCGTAGAGAGGATTAGAAAAATGGAGCCCATGCAAAATAGCTGTTGTTAAATCTGGAAGGTAGAACTTGTATTCAACCTGATCTCCAGAAATGTTTTTTTCTTTTTCAGCAGACGTTTCCTTGAGTTGCACACCAACTGATCTGCTTTAAAATTGCTTGAACTTGTGGTGTCTCAGAGAGGACATTCTTAATTTGTGCTGACCATGACTGTTGCATTTGTAAAGGGATAGCAATAGCTGTGCTCTGTTGTTCTACTTTTACACATCTGTTCTATTCTGCATTTAGGTTATTAGGTGATTTCTATTCTCATGGTATCAGAGTGCTTGGGCACAAAAGCCTCTCACAAACAAAAGAAATCTCAGAGGACCAAAGGTCTATAATACATATATGTGTTCCCTGGAGATGTGACTTTGCTGCAGTTACTTTCTTCTTTTAACTTGCATTTTTCTCTGCAGGGAGGCGTGAATACAGCCGTGACTTCCTGCTCCAATTCCGCTTTTGTGATGTTGCCTGTGAACGACCRCCGCAGCTGGTCCTCCTGGAAGGTGTGACAGATGCTAAACCAGGTACTAAGGAGAGACTTTCAGCTTGTTGCTCTCTTAGCTCAGTGAAGCTCCTCTCCTTTAAGGAAGACTGAGAGAGTKGGGACTGGAGAGAGAAGGCCCTACTGAGGCCTCATTGTGGCCTTCCAGTGCTTACAGGGGTCTTATAAAAAAAGAGGGAGTGTTACTATTTACACATGCAGGTASTGATGGGATAAGGAGAAATGGTTTTAAATTTCCTAAAATTCTTTACATACAGGGTAGTAAGGCATTGGGCTGGGTTGGCCGGAGAAGTTGTGGATGCCACATCCCTGTAAAGCATTCAAGGCCAGCTTGTATGGGGCCATGGGCGACCTGATATAGTGGGTGACATCCTTGCTCATGSGATGGGGGGATGGAACTACATGATCTTTAAGGTCCCTCCCAACCCTTGTAGGATTGTATGATTTCAGAGAAGACATGAGGTGGAGGTAATGCCTGCTGAGGAAAGGCAGAAGGGTGCCTTCTGTGACTCTGATTAGATTCCATGAAAGCTCAGAGAAGTACAGTCCTACCTCCCTCATACACATTGATTGTGTTCCTTGAGGTGCACTGAGATTCAGCTTCTTTTTGAGTCTGTTTCTTACAAACTTCTTTTAAGCTGAAACACACGTATATTTTTTCTGCTTCAATATTTTGGTGGTGGAGAACAACTGGAAGACTGTAATGATACACAGTGGCCACAATATAGATGTCTCTGGAAGCTGGTACCCAGCAGACATTCCTCCACCTTTGGGCCTTGTGGCATAGCTGGTTCTGSTTTCTTCATTTCTGTTCTGACTTTCTAGATACCCTTTGAGTAAGCTGTGGGCCGAGACAAGAAAACTTTCTTTTTAGAGCAAAGGTTGAAATACCCTGAGCTTTGATAATATTAAATGCTTTAAGGGCATGTCCTCAGCAGGACAGAATATGACTTCTCAATTGTTTGCACTGATCTGCTCTAAGGATGTCTATTAGTCTTAGAGCTGGTGCTTCCTTTGGATATTTTCCCTTAAGATGCTTGTGACTGGAAGCTGTCTGCACTTCTAGGGCAAAAAGATTTGTTTGGTTTCAGGAGAAGCTTCTCAGACTTGGGATGAGCAGCCTGTTCTGGGATCTGTGTAGGTCTGGCTGGAATCTCTTTGCTCCTTTGCAGACCGCCCTGCGCACTGGCCCAAACCTGCTGCCTTGGTGAAAGACTGTGATCCCCAGCCATTCATCCCAAGGTAACTTGGTGCACCTTCAATGGCCCCAATGTTCAAACTCAGTCTTGTTTTGCTGAGCACTGAAAATCTAGTTGAAATAAAGACTGAAATAAATGTGAAAGAGAGTAAGGAGTGCTATCTGGAAGAGCTAGATCCACCCAGGATTGTCCCAGCAGCTGGGCACTGCTCTGTCAGCATTGTGTTGGTGAGATCAAGAATGAAAGATATAGACATATACAGGGCTGGGTATAGAAAACAAAGGAAGTTCAGACTGTGAACTTGCTTTGGTGTAGGTGGAGTGAATAGTTTTGAAAGATTTTATGTGCTCACAGAGTAGGAATAGTTTAGACAGTTGCATCAGCAAGGCAACAATCAGCTGTGACTGCAGTACTGAAAAGGCATAATGCTCTTTCCTTCCTTAGTGAACAGTGACTGTTTGTGTGCAGGTGTTCGGGTGTTATCCAGCATAGCCTCAACCTGACCTCTGTCTACAGCCACTTCCTGCCACAGAGGGGACGCCCAGAGGTCACAACAATGCCCATGGGGCTTGGAGCCACTGTTGATTACATTTTCTACTCAGCAGAGCCTGTGGAGAGCAAAGCGGGTGAGTGTGACAGTGCAGGACTTATCCCTGTGACATTGGAAGAGGTCTCTCCCTGTGAGAGATGCAGATGGGCAGTGCATTTCATTAAGCTGGGGTGGATCTACAGGATATGTCTTTGACTGAAATAATACACAAGGTGGAAGCAACATTTGCTCATGTACCATGAGAAGACACTGTTTATCTTTGCTTCTTTGCTGTGAAAAAAAAGGAGGCTGCTTAGGTTCATGTAGACTTTAGAGGAAACTACAACAGAAGGAATTCTTTTCTTCTGGATAAGTACCGTGCTTGTGCTCCTGGTAACAGGCAGTTCTGGGTTCTGAATTCAAGGCTTGGACTTCTGATCCAGAAGGCTTGGACTTCGGTCTGACACCACATGCTGTTCTTGGAAGGAGRTGACTCTGGTTCCCTTACAATGGCATCTTCTCTCTCTTACCTGAACCAGGAGTTCTGTCGATGAAAGATTGCATATAAATGCAATTCCAGGAACTCTCTTGGGGCTGATTTGGGTCATGTCAGAATCAAGTTTGGGGAACATGTTAGGAATGAAGAGATGAATTCCTCCTTGTGGGAGAATACGGCATGGTATCATGAAAGAAACTTCTCATGTAAGCAACTACCTGATGAATTTGGTGTATTCTTGCTTCCTATACCTGCAGGTGTGTGACACCATGAACCATACTGTAGGATGCACACTGCTTTCACATCTAGGCTTAAAAGGTGCATGCAGTGTTTGTGCAGGCTGTCTTCATTCATCAGGGAAAGAATAGGAAAGGATTGACAAACATCCCTCTGTGAGTGTACACTGCCAGTCTCTGGCTGATGTTTCGTTCCATTTTCTTTGTCAGGTCGCAGGCTGTACAAGGATGGAGCCCTGAAGCTGCTTGGCCGTCTTTCCCTTCTCTCTGAAGATGTCCTCTTGATGGCAAATGGCTTACCAAATCCTTTTTGTTCATCTGATCATCTCTGCCTGCTGGCTAGCTTTGGCTTGGAGATCTCCAACCTCAGAGAGAATTAGTGTTGGCTCCCTTTCCCTAAAGAAAAGCTGTTCTGAATACAGCAGTTGAGGTTCTGGATTACACAACCTGCTTGCAAGAAAACTCTTTCCTTGTCACGTCCTAAAAGTTTTTTTTTTCCCCTCACACTTTCACTAAAAGCGGGGATGGGGGAGTTGGAGMGCTTTTTGCATTGGTATTTCCTGGATCTCTGCAAACCTGATCTGTGGTTTCCAGTGAGCTTCCAGTTGTATTCAGGCATTAACATCTCTTAAAGGGATCTTTGTTTCTACTGCCTTGTTTAGCAGGTGTTTTTGTGCTGTAGGAGCCAACATAACTCCCATGTTTATTTGTCCCTGTCAAGGAGCTGGAAAAGAGGGGCAATGCTATCTGCTTCTGATTAGTTCAGTTGCTGCCAAGGAGCATGGGATGTGTACACCAATACTCTTTCACACCAGAACAATAATTTTTTTTTTAATTTCTCAGCAATAATTTAGTCCATTCAGGGTTAGTTGTTGTGTTGCCTTTTAATCTGGATCTGCTAACTGCTTAAAAATGTCTTTTACTTAATAATGTGTAAGAGCTGGCTTGCTGACTTGCTGACAGAAGGGTTTGTGTGGTGTAAGTTTCTACCAGAAACTGCCTTCTGTTACTAATGGACGAGAGAATGGGATTGSCAGGAATGGAACCACAAATTCTACAGACCCACCCACAGCAGCTCTAAAACTGCAGCAAAAGCCTGGAGGCCTTGGAGAAGGCTTCCTTCCTTTCTAGCCATCTCAGAATGGTACCTAATTAGTCATTTTTAGGAAAAATATTTAGGATCCTCCCAGTGAATATCCCATGGAAAAAAAAAATACCTGTAAGGCATGACAACCCCAGAAGGCAATAACTTTGGATATCCCAAAAGAGAGATGAAGATGGAAGGCATGTGAGAGTCAGCAGAGGCATCAGATGTAAGAGCTGATACTTGTCACTTGTCCTACTCTTTTCTCTGTGCACTCCCTATTGCATTCAGCCTGTCAGGGGTCAACAGCCAACCTGTGGCATCCATATCCTGTGCCAGACTGAAGTCCATGCTGCATCCTTCTTCTGGACCCAGCCATGTTTAGGTAGGTGGAACCCTTAGGACCAGCTCCTGTCTCATGACATGCTTTGGGAGGAAGGGGAGGGCTATATAACTTGGAGCCAGACTTGGTCACTTGGATCCCAGTGTACCTTTGGTGTCCTRTGGTGCTTTTGTCAGCAGTAGCTTGGCCAGTACAAAAGCAGTGGAGCTGTACCTGTTCCTAAGTAATTTCCTCAGTTCAGCCCGACATTTGGTGCTCAGATTTTCCCCAAGAGGTGGGACCAATATTGGCAGAAACATTATCAATCTTCTGTTCACAAATGAGGCAGGCAGTCTGGTCCCATCTCAGGTTTTTGTGGGAGGGTACAGGAGACTTGAAACATTGTTTGTTCTTTGTGGTCTATATTGAGGAAATACATTTTAAATGTTACTTTATTGAAAAATAAAATACTACTAAATCCAAGAAAATACCACAAAGTAACTACGGGACCTTGTATCTCTGGCAGCTGAATCCTCTGAAGACTTGCTCAGCAAGGTTTTGCTGGCTGGGAGGTGAAAGAGAGCAAATTAAACTGCAAAAGGAAGTAATGAGGGTTAAAAAAA